CTAATATAAATAATTGGTGTAACGATCTACATTCAATTGTATCACAATAGCCAATCAAAAGGACTTTCCATCATGCTTAAATCGAGTTTGCTGCACCCGCATATTACGTAGCAGCAATTAAATATCGTATATATTAAATTTGTAAGCTGTAAACTAGAAATGGATAATTATGGCTTCATTGATTTGCTCGACTATAGCCTTTGAACTTTTTAATAACTGATAACTTATTACAGAATTATTGACACGTCAGTTTCGGGCACGTGGTATATTTACTAATTTTGATTGGGTGTTACTACAATAGTTAATAAAGGGAATTTAACGTATGTACGTACATGTACTCCTTGAAAAATTGGTTGAGAATTTCAAATAAGCATAGTCATTAAACTACCAAATGCATATCGAACCTAAACTCGAATTATACATAAAATATAAATGAAAAAAACCTATACAAAAAAAAATCAAAAAAGAACACAGTATTCTAATATCTATTGTATAAAACAAGTAATAACGATTTTAATTTATTCAGCTTTACAAGCAGCAACTTCATGTAAGTATGCACCAAATAACTTAATTCCTCGAATATAATTTGAACGATCAAGTTTTTCATTAATTGAATGTGCACCCTAAACAATAAAATATAATAAATTAATAAAATTAACAATAAGTACAAGATGAAACGATAAATATATGCTTACGTCATCACCACGACCCATTGGGAGTAATAAAACATTCTTATTCAAAGCATCTTGAAATGTCAAAGTAACAGGAATAGAACCACCTTCACGCGTCAAATCAGGCTTGCATTTGAAAACTCTTTCAACAGCATTAGAAGCAGCAACTATTCGGTTAGAAAATATAAATCCGTTAACATACGTAATATATTTGTAAATAAAATTTATATATAAAAAACAAGTAAAACATACCATAATTCCAATGATTAGGGTTTGCAAGCCATGCTTTGGCACTATGTAAACACTCCACATTAAGAGTATTTTTACTACCCAGTTTAGCAAATTCATCTTTCAAATATTTTTCAACCAGTTCATCAACGCGTTTAGGATCCATGTTTGGAACAATTCTAATTGAGAACTTTCCAGTGATTTTTGCAGGTAAGACTGTTTTAAATCCAGAACTAGAAAATGCACCTTCAATTAATGAAAAACTTGATCGTTCAAATTATATTCGAGGAATTAAGTTATTTGGTGC